ACACTGGCATACTTGCTAATAATAACATGTTGGGAACTACCTGTATGCTGCCACACTGGAGTGCAGTCTATTAGTGTTTGAACTGCTGCACCTTGGGACTCATAATTCTTTACAAATTCTCTTTCTTCACTTAATTATGGAAAAGATATGAGGAGAAAGTTGCATAGCCCCTTCATTTATTTCACTGTCAGTGAAAGTGGCAGTTAGTAATTCTTCAAGTTATATTACATCATTCACTTAAAATAATGTAGCTCCTTGCTGAGTTTGCTTCAATTAAGTCATATTTTATTTGCTAATGATTTTACAAGTTAGCAATGACCTTGAAGGACGGTGTTGTCAACACATCTTGACATAGAGAATGTGATATAGAACAAAGAGTATGTCAATTTATTCTTTATTTTCTGTCTGTATTTTTAAAAGACTTTTAAATTAAATTTCCAGTTGAACTTTACGTGAGAACTGCAGAGGTTAGTGAATTAAGTAGTTCATGTGGTTTAAAAGAAATAAATTTCAGTTTATATACAGGAAAAGGATTTTGCTGGTGTCTTGAATGGTGTGTGTGTGTTTAAGTATGTTTGTGTGTGCATAATCTTTCCTTCTGTTGGATTAGTTTTAAGAATTGTTAAACAGTTAACCTGCAAAATCCTAATGATTAACCTGAAGAAAGCTTCTTGGACCTAATTCTACTTGAATATAATTTATACTGAAATGCTATGTTGAAACAGTTACTATAAAACTAACATAGTTTTTCAGTTCAGTTCAGTTGCTCAGTCGTGTCCAACTCTTTGCAACCCCATGGACTGCAGCACGCCAGGCCTCCCTGTCCATCACCAACTCCCGGTGTTTATTCAAACTCATGTCCATTGAGTTGGTGATGCTCTCATCCGCTGTTGTCCCCTTCTCCTCCCCCCTTCAATATTTCCTAGCATCAGGGTCTTTTCCAATGAGCCAGTTCTTCCCAGCAGGTGACCAAAGTATTGGAGTTTCAGCTTCAGTATCAGTCCTTCCAATGAATATTCAGGACTGATTTCCTTTATTATCTCCTTACAGTCCAAGGGACTCTCAAGAATCTTCTCCAACACCACAGTTGAAAAGCATCAATTCTTCGGCACTCAAATTTTTTAGGCTATAAAAATATAATGTTAAGGGTGGTTTGTCAAAATGCTCTGTTTTAAAATATGAATTTTATTTTTAAAAATCTGTAAGCTATAGCAAATCAATAGATATGCTCCCGCCTGAATTATGGAAAATATCTGGTGCATCTAACCTGGCTGTATTATATTAAAAGAGAATTCTACATTTATTTTATTACTTATTATGCCTAAAATCTTCACAATTATGAAATTTTACTTTATTTCAAAGTAAATAAAGTACAACACAAATGAGAAAACTTTCTTTCTGACATCAAAACTGTGTATGTACTTTAAAATCCATGCCTCTGTTAAGTAATTTCATTTGAAAGGTGGTCTAGAACACTTAGCTTAGCAAAAAAAAAGTGTTGTATGGCTCAGCACTCTTTCCTTTCTGAAGCCCTCTGGGGTGCAGCAGGTCTTCTGAGTTGCCACTGACCCAAAGGAACAGGCTGCTTTGCAGCTACTCTAGTGGAAAACATGGTTTCTTCCAGGACTCCTTTTTTACCATCTGCTATTCTGTTGGTCATGTCAGGCTCTGCTATTTTTCTGTGCTGTTCTGCTAGGTGTTACCGTGTTTGTCTTTGCACACTAGACCCAACGCCTTTGGATGGTCTGACTACCTTTATTTCCTTTTGTGTTACATTCAGAGGTGCTAGAGTGGTGTAAGCTCCATGCATTAGAGAGATTGGTGGGATAGCCCTTTTAATTTTTATTTATAGCTCTGTTCCTTCTAGGATTGACAAGGATCTGGGCTTGGGAATCATATATCAGTCTATTTGTAATAATATCATCATCTTGCTTTGATTTGGTGCTTTATAGAGTGTTATAGCTTCATAGTGTGTTCAAGCTAAGCATCCCTAGTGAAGAAGGGCAATAGTTCTCTGCTCTTTGTGTTGTAGTTTGTTAGAAGGAATCTGTATACCAATTAGCTAAGCACAACAAGATGACTTACAGTGCTGGAAATATTCTAGTGAAAATAAGAATTAATCCTTTTTATTTATGTAACAAGTTTTCCCAGGCTTCATTGGATTGCGGGTACTAAATAGCGTCACAGTTATGTTAGTAACTCAAATATATGCATATTGTCTCCTCCTGTTGATGTGGTGGAACTCAAGCCTTCTTCAAAGTTCTCCTTCGCAGAAACTTCTAGAAGGGCTGTCTCAACCATGCTCCTGAACAAGTCTGTTTCCACTGAGACAGCTTCTGCTGCCCCAGGCACTTTAGTCTCTCGCCAGATGGTGCTCTCTGCTGGGCATTTCTGCCCATGTACTCCATCACAGTGAAAGCTGCACGATAAGCTGAAGTGAAGTCAGGAGATAGTGCTTTTCTCTCTGTGTTATACTCCACTAGCTAGAAGGGTCTAAAAGTAGCACTGATTTTTTACCAGTGTTTTAATGAAATAGATCTTTTAGGTTTTTATCAGAGCCCTTTTGCACTCCACAGAATACAGGCATAAATCCACTGGGGGATTGTGTTGTAGAAGGCAAATTCAGTCAACAGAGAAGTAGTAAGCATTGCCACTCTTTTGACCATTAGATTTTCTTACTGGATGTTGGCTATCATGATTAGCTGCTTCCCATAGGATTAGTTTTTGCATTTACCTTCTGGTTGATTTGTTTTGTTAGTTTACTAGTCATTCCAAAACTATGTCTGAATCTTACATGGACATAGCTAGTAACTCCCTGTTTCTATACCCTCAGCTCCAACATCCTCTACCACCCCAAGAAAGGAGACTTACTGTAATTCAATTTCTGTCTCAGATTACCATCTATGATGAGAGAATCAACAAAGATTCCATTTCGTTTCATTCAAACATCAAAGTTCTGTCAGATGGTGTTTGTCTCTGTTTAATTCTTTAAGATTAGGTGGGTGTAAAAGGAAAAGTTGAGTTTTATTGATTTTGTATTTTATAGTATTTGAGGGCTAGTTTTTAGTGGTGAGTTCTAGGAAATAAAAGATGTTTTCACATAGTAGGAAATCTTTGTGCTGTAGCAGCTTATTTTTGAATTTTGTTGTGTCACCTTTCTGGAGTGATGCCTGTCTAACTAGGAAGTCTGTCTTTGTTAGGGCCTAATGGCAGTGCTTCCAGTTTATTTCCAACCATTTATGGCAGGAATGAATGGGTTTTAGCATTCTTTCTTCACTTCATGTAATGGCACCAGTGCAAATAAATCTCTAAGATTATTAGTAGTTTTGAGAATTGCTCTGTACTCACTACCCATGAGTCTGTCCTTACCTCCAGTATATATCTTCCTGGGCATATTAATAGGGTTCAGCTGAGGTTTCTTTCACATGCAGCAAGGTCTTTTTCTGGTTCTAATCTCTGCTGTGCTATATTTTCCAGAAATTCCCTGAAGTGGAACGTGAATGTGAATGATACCTTCTCTTAGTTTCTGAAGAAAAAAAAAAAGTGAAAGTCTTTCAGTCATGTCCAACTCTCTGTGACTATACAGTCCATGGAATTCTCCACACCAGAATACTGGAGTGGGTAGCCATTCCTTCTCTAGGGGATATTCCCAGTGCAGGGATTGAACCCAGGTCTCCCACATTGCAGGTGGATTCTTTACCAGCACTGATAATTTGAGTCTATTTTATACTCTTCTTTTGAGATTCTGGCAGGAATCTGATTCGATTCACCAGTCTGAACTAGAATTTTGTCTTCATAACATTTAATCGCTATTTATTTAATTAATATTGCTTATAATGGTAATTGAGAGAGATTGGTTCCACTGTTCTAGAACAGCAGTGGTCACCTAGAACAACTGGCACACTGTTTTATGCAGTTAAACTACAAGTTTATGTTACTGGGATTTTATTCATTGTATATATATATTGTTTTAATAATCCATGCCTATTTTAAAGCTGTATTTTTACAAATATGAATTAAAAGTGAAATAGAAAAAAAAAGTGAAATAGACTAGAGTTTAACTTTACATCAGTTAAAAAAATAAGATATTATAAATTTTTTAAATGATTACTCAACATAAGAGAATTCTTATAAGAAACACTACTGTTCTTGTTTCATATTATATTATTAGTATCTAAAAAAAGCAGGTGTTTTTAACTTCTCTGAAACAAAATCTTCAGTGAGTCATGCTTAATTTTGGTATTTATTATAGTGGATGTGAAGGAAGATGATTGTTGATTTCTCATGCCACAAATGACTTATTTGGGGTTAAAGTACTGATCCTGAGCTCAAATAATAACTATAAAATGAATTGAGTATAATTTTTGTTGTGTATTTGTTACTCTATGAAAATTTTACATGAATATCTTATAAACTTAAATATCAAGTAGTTAGATATTATCTAGTATCTGTTGGTGATGTTTGAATTCTAATTTAATTTCTTAAAATTAATGTAAGTTCTATTTAAGTCATTTGTGTTAGACTTTCCCTAAATCATGCAATTCTGCCCTTCCTCCCTCATTTAAGTGATAAGGAGCTGATTTTCATTAGCCTTAAGGATTTAGGTTGTTGAGTGTACTGCCAAGAGCAAAGCTGTTCATATTGGTTGAGGTTATGATGGAGAAGGAAATGGTAACCCACTCCAGTATTCTTACCTAGAGAATTCCATGGACAGAGGAGTCTAGCAGGCTAGAGTCCAGGGGATCGTAAAGATTCAGACACAACTGAGAAACTTTCACTTTCATGCTAAGCTAGAGGTCCTTCTCTGGGAATCCTGGTTGATTTAGGAGTGGAATGGGATACAGTGATAACTTGGATTATCTAAGTTATATCAGGGAAGATTCTATCATTTACCAGGGGAAACTCATTAACTAAGGCTATCCTTGCTGTAGACGAGTCAAGTTAAACTTTGTTTCATGATTTATATAAACTATCTCTCATCCTCCCTTTTTTTTCCAAAGGATTTTTCCAGAGCAACTTTGAAATACAAAGGGATACATTTTGGCAACTCTTTGGGAAGACTCCAGTTACCTATAACATCAGGGCCTGGTCCTGGACAGTATGATATAACCCAGTAAGTTAAAAAATAGTATACTTTTACTGTAGTTTTTGACTAATAATTTAGACTAGGTTATGCTGTTATGAAAGGAAAAATCAGTATAAAAAACTTAAAGAAATGTTATATTTTAGGCTTCGAAGGAAAGTTATGACCAACCTAGACAGCATATTAAAAAGCAGAGACATTACTTTGCCAACAAAGGTCCGTCTAGTCAAGGCTATGGTTTTTCCAGTGGTCATGTATCAATGTGAGAGTTGGACTATAAAGAAAGCTGAGTGCCGAAGAAGTGATACTTTTGAAGTGTGGTGTTGGAGAAGACTCTTGAGAGTCCCTTGAACTGCAAGGAGATCCAACCAGTCCATCCTAAAGGAGACCAGTCCTGGGTGTTCGTTGGAAGGACTGATGTTGAAGCTGAAACTCCAATACTTTGGCCACCTGATGCGAAGAGCTGACTCATTGGAAAAGACCCTGATGCTGGGAAAGATTGAGGGCAGGAGGAGAAGGGGATGACAGAGGATGAGATGGTTGGATGGCATCATCGACTTGATGGACATGGGTTTGGGTGGACTCCGGGAGTTGGTGATGGACAGGGAGGCCTGGCGTGCTGTGGTTCATAGGTTCGCAAAGAGTTGGATACGACTGAGGGACTGAACTGAACTGAACCTATGTAAATATTATTGCTTTTTCAGTCTGCCAGATCATGTGCTACCTGTTTTACTTGTATTAACTCATTTAATATTCACAAGTCTCTGTGTAGTTACTATTGTTATGTCTATTTATCAGTGAAAAATGAGTCAGAGAATAAATAATAGATTTAATATCATGTAGCTGTTCAGTGGCAGAACTTGATATATAGCCCATGTGTCTAAGTACTAAAATATGCTGTCTTTAATTACAAGATAGACAAAAGTTCAGGAAAAATATAAAAATAGGTGGCCCCAGGATTCTGTATCTTGTTCCTGGCTCTGGTGTCCATTCTTCTGACTAATGATAGATTGAGAAGGCATTCTCACTTTGAGTCAGAGCTGTAACACTGGGTTGAAGGTAATATTTACAAAGTCTAACTAGGAAATAAATTTCTTGTAAAATAACGTCTTTATTTTTTTTATACTCTTATCTTAGACATGAGTAAGGTCTTAGACATGAGTCCATAGAGGGCAAAATTGAGTAATAAATACAATGTTGTTCTCAGAATCTATAACTGCTTTCCATGATTTAGTTTTTTTTTTTTTTTTTTAAACAGCTTCCAGCTTATGTGCCTGATCCTTTCTCTCTCATACAATGAATTTTCTCATAGGAAGTCCCACAGTGATTACCTCCAGTTAATTTGCTGGACACATTCAGATACATGTGTATACCAGCAGTGGACCTAGCTTAAACTCTTGCTTAAACTCCCCTGCTGCTGTTCATTCATTGAACAGACATTGTTTGAATTCTTGCTATAACCTCGTAATGAACTTAGTAACTGAAAAAAAAGAATAAAAGGTGGTCCTTGTTTTGGGGAATTTATACCCTGTTCTATTGTCCTTTTCTCTTCTCACTTTCCTAGTATGGGAGATATACAATGTATTTTTATTTTTTAGTAGTTACACTGGAAGCTTAACATGTATATACAGCTTTACTGGGATCTAAATTTAATCTTTGTCATTCCAAATAAAGCAAAGTCTGTCAAATGCTCTTAATGGTGCTCATTCCTTTGACATAATGCTTTTGTTAGTACTTTACTCTTTCTTCTTTCAGTTTGGCTGGTTGATTCCCTATCTGTCTGCCTGTCTATCAGTTTTATTGAAGTTTTGTTAACATTAAGCAAAATTAACACTTTTTGGGGTATGTAGTTCTGTGATGATTGTTTTCCGTCCATTTTGCTATACATCTAACTGAGTGCCTCAGGCGTGACCAGTATTCTAATTATGTTGCTCTAATTTTGCTTGCTATTTTCTTCATAAGGGTCACTTTTATTTCTCTAACCCTGTCCAGCTCCCATTCTCATCCTAGTTTTTAAATGTTATTTTCTTTTTTATCTTTGTTATTTGTCATGTTTCTTCTTTTTCTTCTGTTTGCATTTTCACTTTGCTAGTAGGAATATATCCATATAGATTGCACTCCTAACTGCTTCAGATAGTTCATCATTTCCATAATTTGTCTACTCTTTAGTTTGCTGCCTTCACTGTATCTTTTCTTTGGACTTGTCTTGGTTCCTTCTGGTAGTCAATGTTTTCTACCATTTTTCTTTTTCTTGTTTATTGATTGAGTCATAATTACTCTGGGAGATTTGATATGGTATAAAAATGGAAGTACTTGCTGGATGGGAGGGGAGTTTGGAGGGGCATAGATATGTATAGTTACACTAGAAGAATAGAGGTAACTATAGAAGTAACTATACTTCTCAATTCTCACCCCAATTTCCGAGAAGGCTAGTACTAAATGTTGTGCTAACCATCGGACAGTGGCACTCATTTCCCGTGCTAGTAAGGTCAAGCTTAAAATCTTGAATGTTAAGCTTCAGCATTGTGTGAACCAAGAACTTCCAGATTATGAAGCTGGATTTAGAAAAGGAAGAGGAACCAGAGATCAAATTGCCAGCAATCGCTGTATCACAGAGAAAACTAGGGAATTCCAGAAAAACAACTACCTCTGTTTCATTGACTCTGCCAAAACCTTTAACTATGTGGATCATAATAAACTGTGGAAAGATCTTAAAGAGATTGGAATACCAGACAATCTTACCTGTCTCCTGAAAAACCTATATGCGGGTCAAAAAGCAACAGTTAGAACCCTGTATGGAACAACTGATTGGTTCAAGATAGAGAAAGGAGTATGACAGGCCTGTCTGCTGTCACCCTGTTTGTTTAATTTATATGCTGAGCACATCCGTGAGAAATGCAGGGCTGGATGAGTTACAAACTGGAATCAAGATAGGTGGGAGAAACATCAACAACCTCAGATATGTGGATTGTACCACTCTAATGGCAGAAAGCAAAGAACTAAAGAGCCTGTTGATGAGGATGAAGGAGGAGAGTGAAAGACCTGGCTTAAAAATAAATATTAAAAAAACTAAGATCATGGCATCTGGCCCCATTACTGCATGGCAAGTAGAGGGGGAAAAGGTGGAAATCGTGACAGATTTCCTCCTCTTGGGCTCCAAAAATCACTGTGGATAGTGAATGCAGCCATGAAATCAGAAGACGTTTGCTTCTTGGCAAGAAAGCTATGACAAACTTAGACAGTGTGTTGAAAAGCAGTGACATCACTCTGCCAACAAAGGTCTGTAAAGTCAAAGCTATCATTTTCCCATTGGTCACATACACTGTGAGAGCTGGACTGTAAAGATGGCGGGGTGCCTAAGAACTGATGCCTTTGAACTGTGGTGCTGGACAAGATTCCTGAGAGTCCCTTGGACAGCGAGGAGATCAAACAAGTCAATCTTAATGGAAATCAACCTTGAATACTCATTGGAAGGACTGATGCTGAAGCGGAAACTCCAGTATTTTGGTCATCTGATGCCAACAGTTGACTCACTGGAAAAGTCCCTGATGCTGGGAAAGATTGCGGGCAGGAAGAGAAGAGGGCATCAGAGGATGAGATGGCTGGATGGCATCACCAATGCAGTGGACATGAATTTGGGCAACTTTGGGATATGGTGAGGAACAGAGAGGCCTGGCATGCTGCAGTCTCTGGGGTCACATGGAGTCAGACATGACTGGGCAACTGAACGACAGGAAGATACATGTATATGTATGGTTGAGTCCCTTTGCTGTTTACCTGAAACTATCACATTGTTAATCAGCTATACTCCAATACAAAATAAAAAGTTAAAAAATGGAAATATTTGACTATTCTAAATGGAAAGATAGGCTTATAGGTTTTGTTTGTTCTTTTTTAGTGTGGGAAACAGACCTAAATGATATGTGGCTCTTTTGATATCCCTAATATAAATTTTTTATACATAAAACTATTTGAGGTTTTGAAAATGTTTGTTGAATTTCATGTAAAAAAATCAACGAAGCGAGCATTTAATAGTGAACTGAGATGTTCTATACATTGTTTAACTCATAGTAATGTGTAAACAAAAAAGTAATGACAATTATGCAACATAAGCATTTGTTTTTATTTTTCTATAATCTGCTTATGTTCATTATAGCTCATTGGAAGTGTTTAATGTGAAACTGTTTCCCCAGAATTCTGTTTAAGAATTAGAAAAAATGTCTGCCACCAAACACTTCACATATAATTATCTGCTCTAATCATTACCTTGAGAATTGGTTATTACTATTTCTAATTACAGAAGAAGAGTCAAATCTGAAGTTTAGAGAAGTTAGGCAATTTGTGCAAGGTCACCTAGTTAGTAGGGAGCAATCTTAGGATTCACATCAGGCTGTCTGACTCCAGAACTGTTACTCATTGCTTACTTGGTTTATTATTCTCACTTGAGGTTGTGTAAATTTCAGGGAAAATAAGCTTCCTTTTCATTTTCAAAGATCTTTCTTTATGCCATTTTTTTCTGATTGTTTTGTGATATAAGTAGCATTAATTGTTTTTCCCTTGGGACTTCCACAATGGCTCAGCACGCAGAGAATCTGCCTGCCTGCAATGCAGGAGACGTAGGAAGCACAGGTTCATTTCCTGGGTCAGGAAGATCGCTTGGAGGAGGGCATGGCATCCCACTCCAGTATTCTTGCCAGGAGAATCCCATGGACAGAGGAGCCTGGCAGGCTACAGTCCATAGGGTTGAAAAAAGAGTTGGACATGACTAAAGTGACTTAGCACTCACTGAGGATATATTGGCCTAACAACACCCAGTTGTGTTTATCATCAATAACACAATCTTACTGAATACTTTTTAAGCAGGAAATGTTTGTGTAAAAATATTCTCTTAGCTTATATAGACATTTATATATTTGAAATTGAGAATAAGGTTTTTTTTTTTCTTGATTTTTAAAGGAAAAAGGCACCTCATTATGAAAATGTAAACATCAAGAAAGATCAACAGCAAAATAGCGGCTCAAATCTCCGACAACTTTGTGAAGTAAAAATATTGCAGGAGGAAAAAGAGGTAAGTTAAAAATTAGCCATTTCATCTACATTCTAGATGTTAAGGTCATTGAATCTGAAAAAAAAAGTTAGAGTACTCTTAGATGTACTCTGCCTGCTAGGTAGTTGTCATTCGGTGAATTTTGTGGAAGGAACTAAGGAACTGTATTTAAAATTTCCTTCAAGTGATCGCTATTTCTGCTTGATCACCTCTTGTGGTTAAAACACTCCATACCCCTGAGGCTTCTTGTTCCAGTAGCAGATTACTCTGTTTCTTTCCTTCCTAAACTGACTTAACTTTACCTGCTTGCTGTCTACTGAATTCTCCCTTATTCTATGACTTCTTTTGAATCCGCCTTTAAATCTTTTCTCGTAAGGATAAACGTTCTAAATACGTTTGATTATTCTCAGTATTTAACTTCAAGATAACTTATCTTCCTTTGAGGTTATCTAGGGATCTTCAGTTTTTGACTTTTTCTCTCTTCAAGATAAGAGGTTGAGAACTAAGAATAATATTCTTGGTACAGTCTGAATAGTACATCATTTTTATTTTCACTGTTCTAGTTTATATTTATGAATATAAAACTCTAAATGCCATTAACTTTTTTTTTTTCTCGCTATGCTTCAGTTTAATCATTTGGAACTTGCAGTCATAAAAACCTTGGATTTTTTGTAGTCACAGAAACCTTGGATTTTTTTTAAAGTTTATATTTAAACTTAAAAACTTGAAGGTTATAGTATAAACATTTCAAAATGGATCCATTTAGAGTAAGGATAAATGATTCTCAATTGAGAAATCAGTGAGTATTTCAATAAGAATTTTCTCTTTACTTGATTTCCTTGGTTTTCCCCTGAATATTAATCAGCAGTGAAAAATACTGCTTATAGAGTTATTAGAAAAAGATACATTAACAGGGAAATAAAATGCAGTTGTTTTCATAGAATAATAATTATAAATCTCAAACAAAATAAAAAAAAGTGTTAATTAAGAATCATGAGAGAGATTGGTCTGTAGTTATATTGTAATGTGTTTGTCTGGTTTTAGTATTAAGGTAATACTGGCCTCATACAATGAGTTAAGAAGTATTCCTTCTATTTGTGTCCTCTGAAAGAACCTGTAGAGAATTGGTATAATTTTTTCCCCTAAATGTTTGGTAGAATTTACCAGTGAACCCATCCGGGTCTGGTACTTTTAGTTTTGGAAGGCTGTCTTGATTTCTTTAATAGGTTTAGACCTATTCAGATCATCTATTTCTTCTTATGAGAATTTGGCAGTTGAACCTTTTAAGGAAGTGGTTTGTTTCATCTAGGTTATCGTTGTTTATAACATTCCTGTATTCTTCTAATGTATATGAGGCCTATAGTTATGTCTCCTCCTTCATTTCTAATATTAGTGATTTATGTCTTCTCTCATTTTTCTTAGTTTGCCAGGTGAGAGGTTTATAAATTTTATTGATCTTTTCAATGAATCAGCTTTTGGTTTTGTTGCTTTTCTCTGTTCATTTCTTATTTTTAATTTCATTGATTTTTGCTCTAATTCTTATTTATTTTCTTGGCTATTATTTTGGTATTTAATGTCTTACTTGGGTACTTAATATTTTATTTTGTATTTGCTCTTTTAAAATTTTTTTCTAAGGTGGTAACTTAGATGCTCATATCTGTTTTCAGTGGTATAAATTTCCCTGTAAGAGCTGTTTATCCTGTGTCTCACAATTTTTGATTGTTTCTCTATTCATTTTCATTTAGTTCAAAATATTTTAAAATCTCTCTTGAGATTTCTTCATTGACCCATGTGTTATTTAGAATTGTGATGCTTAATCTCCATGTATTTTGTGAGTTTCCATTGATCTTTCTGTTTTTGGTTTCTAATTTAATTCTACATGGTCTGAGAGCAGACATCGTATGATTTCTAGTCTGTTAAATTTGTGAAAGTGTGTTTATGACTCAAAATGTGGTCTATCTTGGTAAATGTTCTATATGAGCTTGAGAAGAGTGTATTCTGCTGTTGTTGGATGAAGTAGCATGTAGGTATCAATTACATCTAGTTAACTGATGGTTGTTATTGAGTTCAAGCATGTCCTTATGGATTTTATGCCCACTGGTCTGTCTACTTCTGAGAGAGGATGAAATTTCCAACTGTGATAGTGGATTCATTTATTTCTCCTTGCAATTCTATCAGTTTTTGCCTCATTTAGTTGATGCTCTTTTGTTAGGTGCCTACACCTTAATGATCATTACGTCTTTTTACAGACCTGACCCCTTTACCATTATGTAATGACCTTCTTTATCCCTGATAATTATCTTTACTTTGAAGTATACTCTTCCTTATTTTGGCTCTGATGGTAACGAATCTGCCTGCAATACAGGTAGACCTGGGTTTGATCCCTAGGTTGGGAAGATCCCCCAGAGAAGAAAGGCTACCCACACCAGTATTCTTGCATGGAGAATTCCATGGGTGGGCTACAGTCCATGGGGTCGCAAAGTTGGTCACAACTGAGCAACTAACACCTTCACTCTTGCTTTCTTTTGTTTACTATTAATGTGATATATTGTTCCCTATCCATTTACTTTACATTTATATATCTTTATATTTAAAGTGGGATTTTTGTAGACTAGGCTTACTATACAACTATAGTGATATCTTGGATCCATTCTGACAATCTGGCTTTTAATTAGTGCATTTAGATCTTTGCCATGAATGATTATTGATATAGTTGAATTAGTATACACTACTGTTTTCTGTTTGCCCTTATTCTTTTTTTTTTTTTTTTTTGCCTGTACCACACAGCTTGTAAGATCTCAGGAACCTAGGCCATGGTTGTGAAAACCCAGAATCCTACCCACTAGGCCATCAAGGAACTCCCACTTTGTTGATATTTTTGATGTACATTTCTTCCCCCTGCCTTTTGTGGCTTTAATTATTTTGTATGATTCCTTTTCTGTCCTTTTTTAGAATATAGCTGTACTTCATTTTTGACTTTTTAAGTGTTCTAGAATTTGCAATATATATTTATATATTTATAACTAATTCTAGTTTACTTTTAAATAATACTGCACTACTTCATGGGTAGTGTGAGTACCTTGTAATTGAAAAAAAAAAATCCTAGTTTTTCCTTTCTATTGCTTACATCATTGTTGTCATACATTTCACTTATGTTTAAGCATATAGAAACATATGTATATGTATGTGTATATATATACACATACATAATTGAATAAATTGTTGCTATTATTTTGAGGAAAATAATTATTTGAAAAAATAATAATGGCTCTGTTAGACCCATAAAGAATAAGAAAAATAAAACTTTTTGTTTTACCTTTACTTATGCATGCTTCAATTCTCTTCCTTTATGCAGATCCAGATTTTGGACCTGTATTACTTTCCTTCTTTTTAGGAAATGTAGCATTTCTTTTAAGGCAAGTCTACTAGCAACAAACTTCATCAATTTTTGTTTGTCTAAGAAAGTATTTCTCTTTCATTTTTAAAGGATAATAATTTTTTTCATTTTTAAAGGATAATAAAGGGTGCAGAATTCTAGGTTTTTTTTTTTTCCTCTCAACACTTTATTTCACCTTGCTCTCTTCTTGCTTGCAAAGTTTCTTTGGAGAAGTTAAGTGTAATTTTTGTTCCCCTTTATGTAAGGTGTTTTTTCCTCTGGCTTCTACCAGGGTTTTTTCTTTATCTAATTCTGTATTTTGAAGATGATATGCCTAGGTATAGTGTTTTCAACAGTTCTCTTTGTTTTGGGGACACTGGTGTTCTCTGAGCTTTCTAGATCTGTGGTTTGATGTCCAACATTAATTTGGGGGAAATTCTCGGTCATTACTTTTTCATATATTTCTTCTGTTCCTTTTTCTCTTTCTTCTACTTCTAGTATTACCATTTGTTATTGTTGTTTGGTCACTAAGACATATCTGACTCTTTTGCAATCCAGCCCACTAGGCTCCTCTGTCCATGGAATTCTCCAGGCAAGATTACTGGAGTGGGTTGCCATTTCCTTCTCCAGCAGGATCTTCCTGACCCAGGAATCGAACCCACATCTCCTGTTTGGCAGACGGATTCTATACCACTGAGTCACCTGGAAAGCTCAGTACTACCATTACACGTATATAAAACCTTTGGAGGTGTCTCCCAGTGTTTGGATAGTCTGTTTTGATTTTTTCCCCCCAGTCTTTGTTCTCTTTGCTACTTAGTTTTGGGGGTTTCTATTGATATATCCTCAAGGCTAGAGATTATTTTTTCAGGTTTCTCCAGTTTACTGATAAACCTACAAAGGCATTTTTCACTTGTGTTCTTGTTTCTGGTCCCTAACATTTATTTTTAAATTTTTCTTTTTCTTTTAGGATTTTATCTCCCTTCTTCCATTGCTTATCTATTCTTATATTCTGTGATTTTTTTCCTCTAAAGGGTAAATTAGCTAGTTAATCACACATATTTTAAATTCCCAATCTGATTGATTCCACCATCTCTGCTGTGCCTGGTTCCCAGTTGTGTTGCTTACTCCCTCTTCCAAAGGAGTTTTTGTTTTCTAATATTTGGTGTAATTTTTCCTTGATAACTGGATGTATTAGTCAGCTTGGGATACTATAAAAGAATGCCATAGACTGGGTGTCTTATAGGCAACAGAAATTTATTTCTTATAGTTCTGTGAGGCTGAGAAGTCTAAGATGAAGCTGCCAGCAAATTCATTGCCTATTGAGGGCCTGTGTCCTGCTCATAGACATCTTTTTGTTGTGTTTTTGCATAGTGGCAGGGGCAAGGGAACTGTCTGGGATATTTTTTTTTAAATAAAGGCACTAATTTCATTCATGAGAGCTCTACCCTCATGAGTAAATCACTTCCCAGAGGCACTACCTTCAAATACCATCACATTGGGGGAATAGGTTTAAATGTGTATCTTGCAGGGACAAAAACATTAAATCTCTAGCACTTGACATGATTTATCAGGTAAAGGAACTGATGAAAATATGCCTTTTGTAATGTAGTCTGGGAAAGGAGGAGTGTTCTACAATCCTATGACT